AAAAAAAAAAAAAAAAGGATGAGTAGCACTAGGACAAAAGCCTACTGTACGTTTGTATGCTCCATTCATTTATGTATATGCTCACTAATAAGCAAGGATTGAGGATTGGCAATGGCAATGGCAATGGCAATGGCATGCAATGTTATGTAAATCAAAAGGTAAAATGGTAATTTGGTCCAGTTTGGTTTAATTGTTAAGGAACATTCGATAGCTAGTTGATATTCTATATTTGATAGTTATAGTTATTATAACATGAATCATATCCTAAGGTAATTTTATACAGTTATAAAAATTGCAAACAACCATGTAATTCAACTTTAATTACAAGCATCAAAGCTCATCATCTATTATTTACATGCTATAAGTGTAGTGAATCTAAATTAGGTCTTTATTTTTTTTTGGTATTAACTTTTCAGTATTCGGTAATTATATTGTGTTTTGATTAATTTGAAATTGAATCATGTCAGATCTCATATGAGGAAAAACTCTTTTAACATCTATTTATCTATTTATAAGATTTGAATTTGAGACCTTACTTAAAAGAGAATCGAATTTTTTTTACTCGGATTAACAGATCGTTAATAATTAGGTTTTTATTTGATCAAGAAATTAATTAATTTTAATAATTAAACCAAATAAAATTTATATTCTTTTTTCTTTTTACTTATAGTAACAAATAATAAGTAAAATGATATCATATTTTTAATTGTGTTACAATTTTTGAAAAAAGGGAGATTCGAACCAATTCTAAGATTAGAAGTGCATCTTATCATCAGGTGTATAGCCATTGAATCACAAAGTTTAGGTATTAATTTAACATGTATTTAAATAAAGTTTATAAAAAAAAAATTCTCATTCTCGAAAGTGATATTTGCGTCGGAAGTTCTCGAAACTTTTTTTTTTTTTTTTCATTTTTAAGGGAGGGCAATTACACCATTTGACCTTTTCTTTTTTTTAATATTTGAGGACAAGGGTTTGATCATTTAAATTTCCAAGTGTTCCTACAACAAGTGGGAGGTGGGTGTGAGAATCTAAAAGTGGATCTGATCTCGAATAAATATTAATAAATATGAAAAAAAAATAAAATATTACTATATAATTTAAATTATATTAAATTATATAATTAAATTATTAAATATCATAAGTCCCTGATTTTAAAATTGTTGACCTATTTGGTATTTCTTATTAGAATGCAGCTACAAAATAAAAGCTCATAATTTTTGTAATAAATAAATTATCATCTTGAAAAAAAAAATTCTTAGAAATTATTTAAAAATGGTGAAATGATTTTGATGGTGAAGATCATCCTCTGAAGATACAAACCAAATCTGACGGTTATAGTCGCGTTAAAGTATTATATTATTCGCTTCGTTTAAAATCAGAGGAAGTATAAGCCTCTAATTACGTAGACTACCGCCATAACCGGCGAGAGCAATTTTGAAATGTACGACGCGATGAAATCCGCATCTGCTAGTAACGCTCCGGCGGAGATGAGCGTTAGCCCAGCCGCAGTGGAGAGTCGCATCGGCTCCGGCGAACACGAGATGCAGTTTCTCAGCGAATCCATTCTACCCTTGCCTTCTTACGCCGTTAAGGATCTTCTGTTCGTCGGGCTTAGTAACTCTCTTGATTTTTAGGGTTTCGTTCTCATTCGATCTGATTACGTAATTGACATCAAGTTCGGTTCAGTTGTTCTGTGATTTATATTTTTTTAGAAATTTTTATTATGATTAATTTCAGGTATGTGTGAGATGCAGCTTTTGGCTACTCGGAATCGAGCAACAAGTTTATTGTTCTTCCTCATTTTCACCATCGCTACTGTGTTCATTTCTTGAAGAATCAACGTCTCCGGAAGCAGAAGTCGAGTCGGAATTTTGCAGCGTTTGCTTAGATAGATATATTGCAATTCAAGTGGCGCGATGATAAGGAAACATTAGTGAAAAAGGAGAGCGCCAATGATATGACTGAATTGATTGCTGAGATAGTGAAGCAAGAAGGCCATCAGATCGATAGCTTTTCTCTGGAAGTATCTGTACCGCAAGGAATACTGGAGAACGAATCCGCGATTTTGTAAGAGCTCTTTGCCTCTTTTTGGCGGTGAATGATTCATGTTCCTGTAGCTTCGATCTCGATTCATGATTTCGTGTTCTTTTTCCTTTCTCTTGTGGTCACTTATAATGCGTTATGTATAAGCTTGAATTTTGGTTTTTAAGCAGTAAGCAAGCCTGTTAGCACCGTTTTCTGTTAGATGCGTAGCCTGATTATTTGGATCTAAATATGAACATTTTGTAGTTGAGATATGAAAAGGAACTTTGGCATTTCATGATTTCTATTTCTTATTCATTTCTCTTGTGATTTCTATTCATGCTGTAAGCTGGAGTTTTGGTTTTTAATCACTAAGAGAAGCATGCTGGTTTAGTTTTCTGTAGTGTTAAGGCATAAATGAGCTCTTGGATTCTGAATATGAATGATTGAAGAGTGATAAATTATTTCCATAATTTTGTAGGTCAGATATGAAAAGGAAATATGGATCTGAACTCTGGTTTCGGGAAAAGCCACTTTCAGAACCTATTTCCGTTAAGGATGCCCTAAAATTTGCTATAGTGAAGCCACTGGAATCATTATTGGTAAGTATAGATTGCTATAAATGGTTTGATGTTCATTGGTGTTTAGAGACTTAAACTATATCCGGTGTTGTATCTGCTAGGCTTTGGAGAAAAGAGGATCAGATTTAGTTACAAACTAAAAATCATGTATTTTATATATCTAGCATACTGTGTAGAGTTGTCTGCCTACATCAGGTATTGCATGTGCTAGGCTTTGGTCAAAAGGAGAATCTGATTTAATTATAAACTAAAAATGAACTTTAGATTAGTATAAAACACATGAATTATTGTGTTCTGCCCTGTAATTCTGAATTAAATAAAAGTTTTGCAGGGCATTACATCTAGTATAGATTCTTTCTGAATCTGTCTGACATACACACCCGCAAAGGCATCAAAAATGGTTCAGAATTCTAGAGGTAGGATCAAGGATTGCAAAAGGCAGAAAACAGACACCAACAATGGGTTGCACTCTGTTAACAATGAGTGAGTAGTTGCTGGTGCTGAATGTTCAGATCAATCCAATATTGAGACAAATGCTGCTGCTGTGAGGCCTTCTAATGGTTTGCAAGCTCGTGATGCTTCTGAGTGCCTTGGATTCTCCATAGAGATGGTTGTCTTTTCTTTTTCACCTTTTTCTTCCCAGTATATGTTCTTTTTATTTGCAAAATGTCACTGTCTGAACTATCCTCTCAAGATTCAATGTCGTCATAGCAGAATTTGTGGTTCTTGATCACTTATTTTTTATCCTAATTGGGCGGCAATGTTTATGATAAATGAGAAATGTTAATCCATGTCTTTTTGAAAATGACATATTCTTTGCATTTGATTACGCATTTGTTTTTGTTGTGCTTAATTTTATGGAATTTGTTATTTAGCTTTCAAAATTTTGCCTTTTTAGGTCAATGAACCTTGCCACTTGGAATTACAATGCTACAGGACACCTATTTACCTTGGTAGTAGATACCTGAAGGTAAGCCTATACTTCTTCAGAATTTATTCTTTGTGTACTTTTTCAATTATTCTGACCAATGATTAGGGAAGCTTGTAATTCTTCTTCTTGCAAAAATAATGTTTTTTGATTTGGAGGAATTTCAAATTAGTGCGATGCTTTCATGTTGCAGTACTCAAGAAATGTGAATCAAACATGCTGGATAATTGATGAAGAAAGGCTGGGAGAAGCATCTGTTGAGGTACTGGCTGCTGCTATGGCTTCCCTTGTTACGCATTACCAAGTCTGTTCCTATCAATACTAACAGTTCTATGTGTTTGGTCCTCTTTTTTTGGTTGCTAGGAGATAATAGGTAGCAATATTCTTCCAATGCATAAAGGTGATAATTACAAGTTTCATGCTGCTGGCAGAGAAGATATTGATGTAATGAAGATCTCCTTTATTAATTGCTTGCATAGTTTCAGTGCATATTGTGCTGATCCTTAGAATTGCCTTTTCCAGGTTTGAATGTTGGGTTCAGGGCGGCCTTTCCTAGTTGAGATACAAAATGCACGCCAAATCCCATCAGAGGCAATTGTAAAAGAAATTGAAGCAAGGATAAATGGCTTGGAAAATAAATTAGTAAGTTTAATATCAAGTTATTTAGAGACTACTTGCGTTGGCATCAAATTATTAAAATTAGCTGCATGAATGACATTTGCAGGTCAGAGTTAAAAATCTTAAAGTAGTGGGCAGTGAGGGCCGGACAATGATGCGTGAAGGAGAATCAGAGAAGCAGGTAAATTTTTAGTTTTTAGCTACAATAATTTTACCTTTTAGGAAAATTTTGTTCCATTTGGACAAATATCTGGAGTTGATTATTGGACCTGGATACACCTTATCCTTTACCATCCCAAGTTACATATTTCACACAGAAGCAGTATGCTGCACTAGTGTGGATTTCTCATCCACTTGACGACAAAGATTTGAAAACTATATCTTTGCTCAAGGACGTGGTGAGTTATTCAGTGTGCTTCATTATTATACTTTACAAATATAGTGGGGAAGTTATGGTTTAGCTCCAATTGCAAACCTTCTTAGAAATCCAATTGCTTGCTTCCTTTATTCTTGTGCAGCAAATTATGCAAAAGACTCCAATAAGGAGCACCTCCTAAAACCACATAACCGGATGCATTCAATTTTATAATCCTGATGGATATAATTCAAAGTAATTGGTTTCTATACCCTGGTATTGGTCTTTGGCTGGTTTAAACAGTATTCATATGGAGTACTAATCTAATTTGAAATATTTCAAATGCAGGCAGGAACATATATCAAGGAATTTGTTCATGGGGATCTCGGGCGGACTCACCCAAGGTACAGAACTAACCGTCCTTTATGGTTATGCTGTCCATCGTTGCCATTCTTTTGATGTTTGAAAAGCTTTGGTCATCATTTCATTATTTTTGTCAAAAAACTGTTTTAGTCCGGACCTTAAAACAATAATCCTTAAGTGAAGGATGAGGATCCTTAATATTGGGTTTTTCTCCCATTTTAAAATTCTTATTTTACAATTCAAACTATAAAACAACTTACCCTATTTTTATTTATATTTTTATTCCATTCCTTTGCAGCGTTGGATCAATCCTAGGATGCAGAGCAGAGATACTGCAACTTGATGTTACAGACGTTAAAATGGACTGTTTTCTAATTGGGTGAGGCAATACGCATTCCAATATAGTTTTTCATGTATTTGAACCATAGTTTTGTCCTTTCATCTTAATTAAATACTTACTGCAATTTTGGGGTAAAGCTAGGTTTGTCCACACTGGATGCCAATATATCCACCCTTTTGGTGTTTCTTGAATAGTTTGGAAGATGGCAAGTTGATTGTCATTGTTTAATAATTCATCTTTCAAAAAACATAATTATGAAAGTTTGTTAACTTTACAAATTGATTATCGAACTTCAATTCAGTCTAAGCTTGAAGTTCAAAAGTAAGCACAAATTTGTTTATTAACTAGCATAAGAGCTGAATTTGAACTTGAAAACATACCATAGGCTATTTTAAACCCAGTCCAGGAGCCCCAATTCATAGAGAATAATTGAAGTCCCTACAATAATTTTCTTTGTTTGACAATGCGCTTAAAAGATCTCAAGTGTGTCTAATTTAAAATGCGAAGAAAACCTAAAATGCTGTTCATCGGGAATTTATGTGAATTGTGAACAGAAAATTCTTGGGATGGGCTCCCTAGAGTGGAAAACCTAAATAACATAAAGATAAGAAAATGACTTCCGTAACTGGAAGTGCGACTTCTAGCAAGCTGCTTGTGACCATGGATCAGTCCATCAGAAAATCATAACAGCTATTCGATCCAAGATGCGTCTGATACCATGGCCATGAAACTATATCGATCCGCAGCTTCATCAATCTGCGGCAAATGGCCAAAAAGACAAGAATGTCGAAAATCAAAGAAATTATCAATACAATAGCTATCCTTAGTAAAACCAATCCATGTTAATCTTTCAGCAATGGGAGGCCATCTTTTACTCCCTTTATTCTAGAATAGTTGATTTTTTTTAATTTATTTAGGACTCATTTTAAAATAATAATCATTTCATATTTTAGGGATGATATATTTTTTCCTTACTTTAACTTTATTGTTTCTTGATTTTAATTATCCAACTCATCAAAAAAAATCTCTTTATATTTATATCTTTTTTTAAAGAGTAATATAAGTAAAAATAAAAATTATCCCCAAGTCTTGAATTTGAAGATAAAATGAAAAATTGTCTACCATTCTAGGAAGGAGGGAGTATATTATAACATTAAGAAAGATAGAATATACCCTTTATGCTTACCAAACACTAGAAAATGTGCTCATCCAAAAAAAAAAAAAAAAGGAGGAAAGAGAAAATGCAAACAACAATTTTTTTGAAGTCCATATTGATATAGCGCTATATCTAATCTTTTCTTAAAATCATACAGATATAAAGTCCAAGTAATTGGCTGTTTCATAACATAATATAAATTTTAAAAATGACCAAAGAAACTTAAAGAAGTAAATCGATTAAACAGCCCAAAATGTTTTGGGATTTCAAAGCTAGTTAGATTGAAAAATCTCTTAGATGCATTGAAATATCAAGAAGGAAACTTGATTTGGTTTAAGTAAAAAAGTCATTGTTTAGAGATTTCATATTATCTGTTTGAGATTTGCAAGAAATACAGTTCGGCTTAAAAAAATCCCCCAATTAAAAATGATTCATGATGAACTCAAAACAAAATTTCATAACCACAATGACTTTAAAACAGCAAGGATATATATATACATATATATATATATATAT